TTTTATCTTAAAAGATAAAAGGTTAGTCAATCAATCATATATGTAAATAGTTTCCATCTTGTACGATTTAATATTTGAACATTTTTCTTTTTTATCTTGTTCAAATAACTTTTTTTAATAACGTTCTAAAAATGACATTATTATTATTATTATATATTTTTTTATTTGCCTACAAAAATAGTTCTCAAATAGAATATGAAACTAAGAACAGCTGACAACCACATTTTGATATAGACGTAAATAAATGATATAAGAACTTAAAAATAAAAACTTAAAAATTTAGTCTTAGAGACGGGAAAATGAACAACACAAAAGAAGTAAATTTGAAGAAATAATAAAATAAGAATCACCGGTGAGTTAAAGATTAAAAATAGATGATAGAAATAAAACTGTACATTTAATTTTTAATTTTTAGCTCTTAGATTGTTTTATTTATTTATTTATTTTTATCTATCACGAATAATATGTTAGTACATTACTTTGATTTCCACGTAAGAATAATAGTGGTGGTAAATCGTGACTAATACTTTCTAACCATGACATATAGAGACCACATGAAATGGAATTTTTTCGTGGAATTGGCAAAGTTCTTAAACGAAGAAAAAAACAAAAACCAAAATTAAAAGACTATACAAATATACATAAATACTTACACAATAATTAATGTTGATGTTGAACTATATTCAAGTAACATTTCATGTAGACGTAATCCACGTTTTATTTTATCTTTATTTGCTTCGAGTTCTGATGCGCTTATATTCCATGATGATGTTTCTTTTGACTCATTATTAAGAGTATTTTCTCCACTTAAAGATTGTATTAGTTGATTAAATTTTTGTATTTCATATTCATTTGGTTGTTTATTTAAACCATGTAATACATGTAAATCATCATAATTAATACGAAATTTTGATAATAGAGATGCCATTGCTAAATGTTGTTGATCAGCTGCTTGTTTTTCACCACATACACATGAAAATATTCGTAATTGACATTCTTTCCAACGTTTTCGTCGACGTAATAAATATGGAATTAATAATGTCAAACCTAAAGGAAAATATAATCAATATGTCTATTTTTATTATGAAATAAATAAATTACCTCCATCGTCAAATAACCACCAAACATCGATAACAGCTGATGATATTTGACTTTGACGAAATATATTCATACTTTGTAAAGCACCTTATTATTTTAGAGAATAAAAAATAAAAAAATATTTAATTTAATGAAAATTTTCTTATTGACAATTATAAATTACCTTCATTAATAATTGTATTTTTAAGCACCATTACATCTGTTGAACGAATTTTACGTATTACATTATTAGTTTCATTAGTATGATTCATTTTTGTTTTATTTAATGGTGTTGAAATAAAATCTTCGTCATCCTCGTCCACATCGTATACATCATCGGCAAATTCATCTATCAAAACTAAATAATAACGAAATAATTAATATTCATCAATTTTAGCTTATATTTTACATAACTAACCGTACCATCTGATCCACCAAAAAAATCAGAAAAATCGAGTCCACTTTTTAGTCTTAATATACCAATACCAAGATTTAAATCTAATGCATCATGTATAATATTAAAATAATCATTTACTAAATGTTCGGGTTGACTGTACCAATCGTTTTTAAAACCCATAAATACTAGATTTGGACGCATTTTACCAACACCAGCACACTAATAGTTTTTTTTTTTTGTAAATAGAAAGAGATAAGATAAACAATCGAATATATATAATTCGGTAATAATTTACTTGTAGCAATGCTTGAGCTCCTTGTCGTACTGTTGGAGAAATAACAGTTGAATAAAATGCTTTAGAATTACGTTTTTTCAACCAATTTACTGCATCATCTTTTTTCTCACATAATTTAATGTTTACTAAAGGATCATCCTGATAAAACATAATAGAAAACTCCATAAATTACACTTATTAGGAAAACAGGAGTTCGTTTAATAAATATTTTCAAAATTCATGAACTTGTAAAGTCAATGGGTAGTTTGTTTGAGCGTGTCATTTTTCATCAGTGATTTGAGACAATTAAGAAAATGTCTGAACTCAAGATCACATTCCATGAAATTAAGATAAATTTAAGCCACTCATTAGCTAATGTTAAGTAAAGACTTAAGTACTCATTAAAATCTAAGAGCTACTTACGAGGAAACCTATTCAAGTGATACTTTCCAATTTCGTTCGTTCATACATCGATCGATAGAGAGTATCTAGTAAAAGTCTAAAACGATTTTTCCCCGTGACTCTTGAAGACCCGATTTTCTGTAAAATTAGTTTTTCAGAAACTCTAAAAAATAACCAAAATTGTTCTTAATGAGGTATGATTGTAGACCGCAAATTTCTGATTAAAATGAAACATTACCCAGCTCTATATGACCTTTCTTTGCAAATTTATAGAATTTACAAGAAAAGCCCTAAATTAATTTCTTCTTATTTCTGTAGTTTTGAGTTGACAATGAACATTAAGGGCTTTTCTTGTAAATTCTATAAATTTGCAAAGAAAGGTCATATAGAGCTGGGTAATGTTTCATTTTAATCAGAAATTTGTGGGCTACAATTATGCCTCATTAATAACGATTTTGGTTATTTTTAGAGTTTCTGAAAAACTAATTTTACAGAAAATCGGGTCTTCAAGAGTCACGGGGAAAAATCATTTTAGATTTTTTACTAGCTCGATACTCTCTATCGATCGACGTATGAACGAATGAAATTGGAAGGTATCGCTTGGATAAATTTCCCCATTAGGAATATTGATAAAATGGTTCTTAGATCTTTCTTACCAAAATAATATTGCCACATATCATCAAACTGTGTCCGTGTGTTAAAAGTGAAACGAAATCGATGATAGCCGGACGACAAATGGGATTTCCAGTTAGTACTAGAGCTTGTGGACGAAAATTTTTTACATGTTCTTCGACTGTGCCTAATTTTAATATTGCATCCAAAGCACGTCGATAAGTATGCGCTTGAACAGACGAACCCCAATTAATTTCTAAAACATGCAAAGTGTTTTGTTTAAACGCGACAATTATACTCATAGTATGTTAACCTGGTTTCATTGTTCGAACATAAAGATAAAT